CCTTACGGGTACTGGAAGGCTGTTATCAGGTCTTCCTTGAGCCCCCTCTTCTCCAGGCTGAACAACCCCAATCCTCTCAGAAAGAACTCTTTTGATAGGAGAGATGGTGCTCTGCCTTTCATCCTTCCTGAGCAGAGGACGTGAGCTGGAGCACTGCAGCACTGGTTTGGAGGGGCTGCAAAGCAGAGGCTGTGGCCACTTGTGGTCAGTAAAGACTGGGTTTTTTGGTACTTTTTCTAAAAGTAGCTTCATTAAATGAAGGGTGTCGGCCAAATTCTATTTGTGTAAATCCATTTTGTCTCTCTCAGGGCCCCTGAAGTATTTTATTTACTTCATGTTCACTTCACAGAAAGAGAGGACTTGCTGATGGTGTGGTAATTCAGCCCCTTGGATGGATTCTCATTGGACAATCAATGTGTGGAGCTCAGCTGGCTTCCGATTTACTCCCGCAAAGAGCTGGAGCTGTATTTTCTGCTGATGGCAGTGCCAGAACTATCAGGGCAAGATACAAAAAAAAAAAAAAATCTAATAGGGAATAAACTAGTAATTTAATAGGTTTCTTTCTATTACCAGATCAGTTTGTGGTAGGATTCCGCTCTGAAGCTTTATACCTAGTGAAAGTCTCTGCCCTAACTCTCTGTATTTCTGCAGCATATTGCTGTTGTAGTACAACCTAGAGCAGGTGGCCCTCAGCCTGAAATGAAGACATAAATAATTCCTTAATATTAGTGCTTGAAAAGCATTTTGGGATCCTATGCAGGCACTCTCTGTGGTGTATTTTGGTAATTAGTGTATAAAATGATTCATGAAAAGAAGAGGGCTTTTTTAACATCCTTCCCTCCCCCCTGTTTTTCTCCTCCCCCCCCCCCCGAGAAAAGGAATATTCTACTAATACAGAACTTATTTGCTTGATCAGTGAACGTGAGGTATTTTCTTCCTCTCTTCTTTTTCTTATAGCTCATGGCCACATTTTAGCACAACTTCAGAATCATTTTGCTAAGGCTGCCTTTCTCTCAGGCTGGATCGCAAGTATTTCATCTGTACATCAAAGCTGAAGCCTACTAACTTTGTCAGAGACAGACCTGCACTCAAGCCTCTCCCTTTTCTTAAGTGTAAAAATATTTTTCATGGGATAAACAGAGATAGCAATTTCAAATCAGAAATGCATGAAGAAATAATAATAATAATATCCAAATACAAGGAAAGGTAAAGCCTTTCACAGTCTTCCAGTCAGGACTACAAGCAGCTGTGACAGAGTGAGGATGATGTGGTTATTGCCTCCTTACGGGACATCTGCTCCTTACAGGACACAGAGCACATGCCTATTAGGCAACATGAACAGGTGTATGTGCATGCCTTCCTAGCATCATCAGAGTAAATCCAGGACTAGCCTGGATGAATGACTTCAGTTGCTCTGTCTGGGCATGTTTGCATTATGTGGCTTCCTTGAATAGGGGCAAAGAGCAGTCCCTTTAGACCCTTGTCCATACACATTTCTGAACCACTACCTCTTTTGGCTCTTTATATGTACTTTCACGTAATCTCCAAATATAAGTGCTGTGGAAGTTACTCTGTTGATGTAGAAAATTACTGACAATACCCTGGCATCTTTCTCTGCCACCCATCTTCCAAGGTCAGGATCGAAATGTAAGAACCTCCACCATGTGTGAGCTGAGGAACTGGTCCATGTTTTCTTCAGCCATCTGTGGCTCACAGGCAGTTACCACTTGACTTGCTGTGTTGGGTCAAGTGTGATGAGCAGCTGGGGCTGCAGGGTGACCTGAGCTGTCAGCCACGTGAAGCTGAGAGCAGCGGGGACTGTGGATATTGACATTTCTGGGTTCCCCTGGAGTTTGAGTACTGGCTGAGCACAAAAAAATCAGGGGAAGGGAAGCCCCCCAGCGCAGCAAACACCCTTTCTCCATGTCTGCCATTCCCTGTCCTTCCAACTCCCTCATTCAGCTGGCATGTGCTGACTTCAGCAGGCAGGCTGACTTGAGGGCAGGGTTTTCTCCATTCCTCATGCTTGCCCTTGGATCAGCAAAGATCATGGGTGAAAATTAGTATGAATGGCAATGCAGGGGTAGTGTGTGGGCCCAGGAGAGAAACAAGTCCTGCTGCTGTTTCCTGGCAGAATAAAAAGAAAATCTAAATTCAATACTGATGAGCGCAGCGGTGTTAACTGTAAAGCGAGAGTGATGGTGTGAATCCAAATATGGCTACATATGTGGTGGATTGCAGTCTCATTGACAAAGTGAATTTAAGGATGACGTTAATAGTGAAGCCTAGAATCAAAGTTGCACTGTATTTTGGCATGTTCTGGGTCATTTGCACTACTGCTGCAGTTCTGTCATCTGGATTGTATATTCTGTGCCTGTGTCTGCTTCTGTTCAGTTTTGTGGGGAAAGTTAAGTTGAAACAGATCAGCTGTTTCATACTAATCTCTCATCAGCAATATTTACCATTACTGTGGTCTGCCATAGGGATCAAAAATTAGGTGAGAAGGTCGTGTCAGCATCATGGATATAATTTTAGCTGTCATCATGAAAATCCCCTCACATTTGGATAAACTGGGGGTTATTGAAGAATGTTGGGCTTTACAAGTTCAGCAGGGGAGCTCATAAATTTCTGAGGTGACAAAGGTCAGGCATGTAGAAAGGGAAAATATTTTTGTCCTTTCCTTGAAACTTTTGCAAATGCAGGTTGTTTCTGGTTTGGAAGTAGTGCAGCAATGGGTGGTTTTAGTGAGGAGGATATAGCTACCATCATCACCTTTCCTCACCCTGAAATCTGTGCCTAGTGGTGTGGGAATAACTGTGTGAAATAAAAGCAAGACTGAAGGAAGCAACCACAGCACACACCAGGATTGGGGAGGCTGGCTGTATCAGTAGAAGAATGATAAGGATGATCACTAGGGAAGATGCATGTCTCACTGCTACTTACTGCCTCTGAATGACCACAGAAGTGTGGTGGATTTCTGTGTTTGAGTGCAGAGAAACCTGAGGATAACCCAAAGGTTTTTCACAAGGACATTGCTACCATACAGAGGCAGTTTTATACTGGGTATCAGTACAAGAAGAGAGCAAGAGGAGGTCAGCAATTAACATTGAAAAAGACTGAGAATGGTTAACACACAGAAATCTGTGATGATGTTGGTGGTTTGAACTGCCAGTCTGATGCAATGGATGACAAACAGGTACATGGTTAAATCTTACAGATTTTCTACCTCTATGCCTCTTTAGTCTCCCACAGCTTTATAGACCATGAGATTACACATAAAAGTCCCTATAGTTTAACTATAAATGCTCCATCCATCCTGGGATCAGCCAGAATTTTCCCTAAATTGCTTCCTCCCATCTCTTGCAAACATGTGAGGCCAAATCCTGGAACTAAAATCAGGGAGGGTCACCCTCCTGTTCTTTCAGTGTTGCATGTATGCACTGAGAACACGGAGAAAACTGTTGGGGAAAAATGCAGTTGGTGCCTGGTATGGAAGAAGAGAAACAATAGGCATGTGGGTAGAAACTCAGAGAGTAATAGGAATTGCAAGTATGTGAGTGTTTTAGATGCAAGAATTAAAAGGGCAAAAATGAGGAAGGTGGAATAGAGTGGGAGTGATTTTCCCAGAAGGCTGTGTAATTATTCATGAGGGATGATACTGTAAGAATCAATCATAACTATGTAGGAAGTTTTTATCTGTAGGATCCTTGTCTCCCTCCTTGCTGAGGTTGGAAAGAATGAGGCAACAATTATACAATTAAAGATGTAACCATAATGACTGCACAAAATGGAAGCAAGTTAAAGTTGCAAGGCCATGTCGATCATTATTATTATGTAATTCAATATTTGAATGTATAAGAAAACTTAAAACAGCTAAAGGCACTCTAAGGGCTGACTTAAAGAAGTTGACTTCATGCAGGTAATTAATAGAATGGCAACAGAATCAAACAAGATAAGAAAGGAAAAAAGCCATTAATGGGTATATAAATTCTATTAGTTTTAAAAGTCACCCTAACAACAAAAAAACTTGTAATGGAAACTATATTTCTACAGTCTTAAGTCAGTGGAAACTTCAAAAAGTATATCAGGTGAGTATAACTTTTTATCTTAGGATAAGGATTTGTTACAGGTTAACTTTTTCATAAACACATAGCTGGCTTGACTTTCAGAGATGACCATTCACTGAGGGCTTTGAAGCTGAACATTTGGTGGAATTCATGGCCTAATTTAGACACCTAATAATGGACATTTTAAATTTAAGCTAATTGGTTTAGGCTTGGTGTAGAACCAGTAAAGAGAAAAGGCATCTTCAGGGGGAAAATAATTTCTCATTTTGGATGCCAGTTTTACCATGAGATGACTTGTCCTTGAAAGATGCCTATTCTTCTCCACTGCTTATAAAAGAAGCTTAAGGTAAGACTTGAATGATCTACTTTCAGGTGATTAAAGACATGAAATAAATCCTGTCAGTCTTGATATCTAACATAAGGCATCCACTTTTGAAAACTAGCCATAGCTGTTTGTAAGGCAATATCAAAACAAACTGTTGCAAATCACACTGTATACTCCAACAGTTAGCTCTCAAAAAGGCTTGGCCAAGCAGTGCAGACACAGACATACTTAACCAGGGTGTGGGCCATGTTGGCAGCAAGCAAAGATTCAAACTGCACTTTTGGAGGATGGTGGGCTGGAAGGTCTCTGTGACTGCAGTCTCCCACGGGCTGCCAAAGATGGCATCTTTTCTCTTGGTTTACCTGTATTTCAGTTTCAGCTAGAATGAGTTGCTTTGTCTTCTGGGGCTTCTTGGTATATATCTATAAGCATGGGTTTGTTTGATTGTAACATTTCCCTTTCCAGACTCTGGACATCTTGTTTAAATGCTCTTTTCAAATTTCTAAGCTATCCAGCTCAGATTCCAAAAGGCCTAGACTGGGGGATTGGACTAGACGATCTTTTGAGGTCCCTTCCAATCTCTAGCATACTGCGATCCTGTGATCTGGAGGAAGGAGATGAGAAACAAGAAATATGCCAACAGGATTTTTTTTAAACTTCCAAAAAGCCTTCTTACTGTCCTTGCTGGAGACCATATAGCTCTCTGGGTAGGTACCGTCTCTTGTCCCCTTTTTTTTTCATCTTTGTTCTTGGTGCCGGAATGAACCAGTTTTTGACAAGGTGGCTGTATTATGATGGATGTGTTGGCAGGCAGACAGGAAGATCTGGCTCACAAGAGAGGGGATGAAAATAGCCAGCTCCTGAAGGTGTCTGTGAGACGGATTCTTGCTTTCCTGGTACCTTTTATTTTTGCTTCTGGGCTATTTACTTGTGTTCCACTCCAGCAATCAGGGTGACAGGTGACTGTGCTCAGCCTTCTCCTGGTGGCATCAGCACAGGCGGCAGCAGCAGGAGGAAGTTGTTGTGAAGAGGGTCATGTGGTTGTGACTGGAAGAGATGACACCATTCAGAAGCATGATCTTAGGGGTATCTTCTGGAGTATGTCCTGGTACCTTCTAGTGTACCTCCAGTGTGTTCCTCATCTAGAAGCTGGGATCTGGCAACCAACTTCTGAACTTTTGACCTCATCTGTGAGCTGGAAATAGTCATAAGCCCCTCTCTGGCTCATGATCCCCAATAGCTTGACAAACTAGCAGGTTTCTGTTGGATACAGAAAGAGGGTTGAGACCCCTACCTTGGGAATTGTGATCAATTTGTAAGTTGCTGTTGTTTTCAGTCATTTTATGAGGAATCTAGAAAAGATCTTCTCCCTTCCCCTGCAGTTCTGTTGAAAACAAAACCTCTTTTAGAACCCTAAGCAGAAAATAGCGATTCAAGGTAAGGCTAAGGGTTTGTGGGTGTTCAGGCCACAGTGCTGAGTAGTAGTTTGCTCATACAAAAATTCACCTTTGCTATTGTACCTTTCCTTGGATACGGCTGACCACATCGCTGGTTTCGCTATTTTACTTTGTAATTACAGATTCCTTTCACCTCATTTATGAAAATCACTATGTGTCCAAGTAGGCCATCTTTTACACAAATAGATATAATTAATGATGAGTTTTAAATATATGTATGTGAATAGCAATGATTTTTGAAACGTGAAACTTCAACACTTTAAAATTGTTTTGCTGAATTAGATGACTCATCATGCCTGGGAAAAAAAGATCCTGTAATTTCATTGTATTTTCCTGTCATTAAGAAAATATTATGCTTCAAGCAGATGAAAGACAGCAAAATTTGGAGACCCATTATTACTGAATAGTGGTAGCAAGGAGAATTGCATTACATTTGCCTACAGATTTGTGAGTGTGTTTTAGCACCCACTTTTTGTTTCTTTAAAAAAAAGTATCAATTTAGAGGACAAAGTAGAGTTGTGGTTTTTAGAGGACAAGGCTGGACACACCAGCATCTTCAATCCACTGCTTCCATGTCTGTGTCACCCATTTGCTCTGACGACTGAGCTTGGACAGACCGTTCTGCTGGGTCATCCACACACTCTGCAGCTTTTGGTGGACTTATTGTGGGTGCTGGCATATTCTCAAGGGGAATGGGCATGTTTTGTGCTGGTGTTGGCAGGTTTTTGGGGGTTGCTGGCATGCTTTCAGTGGGTTTTGGCATGTTCGCGGTGGGTACTGGCACACTCTCAGGCGGTATTGGTGCACTTTCTGTGGGTACTGGTGCCCTTTCTGGGAGCACAAGCATGCTTTTGGTGGGCTTCGTCATGTTGTCAGTGGGTGTTGTAATATTTTCAGTGGGTGCTGATGTGCTTCCAGGGGATGATGGCATGTGTTCAGTGGGCGCTGGTGTGCTCATACTGGGCTTCTCACAGGGATTCCCAGCCTCTGATTGTGGGGTTAGAGGAGAATGAAGCTCTGGCACCAGGATGGCATTACATGTCTGAGCATCACTGGCCTCTGGATTGCTGCTGTTGCTTGGGATGGACCCCTCTGCCTTGTGGGACACCCTAAAGGCTTCAGCCAGCTCCTTCAGCATCCTCTCATCATTAGCGTGCAGCTCAATGCTTGCCTGCTCAGGAGAGGAAGGGCTTCTATCAGCATCATCATCTTCTTCTAAGATGCCATTTCCATTCACTTCTTCAGGGAACTGTGCTTGCTTTATTTTTTTGTACAATTCATTCCTCTCTTCCTGCAGAGCCCGGCAAAGGTTCTCAAGCCTCTGGATTTTTAGCACGAAACATTCATATTCCTTGGTCCTCATGGCTTTCTGTGGTCAAAGACATCAGACAAAAGTGAGAACTGAGTTTGGGTGCATGCAGTTCCTTGGTGGAACTGGCAGGTAGGAAATAAATTGAGATCTAGGCAGCCCTCACAAGACTGTCAGGTAGCTGGCTTTTGCCAACTGCTCTACAGTAACTACGGTCTTTTGTACTGAAGCTTCAGGAGGAAATTCAGCCATGTTACTGCACTGTATTAAGCATTCTCAGTCTCCATACAGATCCACATCAATTTCACTCAAAAATATTTGCAGGAGTACCTGTTGATCTGTGGAGGTGGAAAAATGTAGCGGATGTCTGTATAGACAAGCATCCAAAAGCCTACCTGGACATCCAGTGGGTGTGAATTTTGGTGAAAACAAGCTGTATTATATTTTTTGCTTATTTTGCTTCTAGATTCTGTGAAAGCAGCCTGAACTGGAACATTTTCTTGTTTCTACAATCAATGAGGAAACAAGAGATACAGAAACCCAGAAACAGCAATAGCACAGATCTATAAGTCTAATCAGAAAGGTCTGGTCCAAGTTCAGTGTAAATTTGGGGTGAAACTTTGAGCAGCCTCTTATCTTATTTGGATGAGTTCCAACATGCTTATGAATTTCGTCTGCAATGCCCCTGTGACAGCATGTTTAAAACTATGGTGAGCCACAGTACTTGCTTTTGGCTCTTAGAGTTTGCATACACAGGAAGTTAATGAAAAGTGTAAATTTGAAGTTCATTAGCTAGACCACATTAATTCCCTGGGAGGATGCTCTTATGCAGAAAGAAAGTTGCATGAAGTGAACTAATGCCAATTTGCTTCTATGTGAGAGCATTAACAATCGCACATTTTTAGAGCACTTAAAATTCACAGTTACATAATTCAGATTCTCATGGACGTAATGAATGCCTCTGAACAACCTAAAAGCCCCAGCAGCTGGGGTTGTCTTTTTGTGTGAATATATCTGATTACCAAGGTAGCTGGAAAAAAAGACCCTTAGATTCAAGAACAAAGTTTTCATTGACTTCAGGCAGTTTCAGGTCACCTCATCTCATAGTTAAAGCTTTATGTGGGAAAAGAAGTGCATCCTGAGAAGAAAAAGACTGTTCACCTCTTCAATCATGTCCAGTAATGCTCTGTTACAGTTCTCAAACCTGGATTTCCATGTAGCAGTATCCTTTTCCAACTTCTTCATTTTCCTTGTCATCTACAGAAGCAGGAGGAAAAGCTGAATCACAACAGGAAATCCATGCTGAAGATTAAATTAGGGCAGTCCTTTTATTCAGGTCTTTGGCTGTACTCATAACTCTGCTGCCAGCAGCTGTAGTGGCTGTGCTAAGTAATAATGTATGGTAAAGCATGGATTTTGTTTTATGTAGCTGCTATGTAACTTTCAGCCTTCAGTCTGCAGTCCTAAAGTAGGACCAGTTGATTATGTGGTTATAAGTATAGCCAAATCCCACATTACGAACTATTGCAAAAACAAAAGGCAAAGAAAATGTGGTATTATTCTGTTTGTCTCTTTACCAGACCACAGTGTTAGATTGCTGGGAAGCTAAAAAAGGGCTTGCATCTTCTGAGCCAGCACTGCCAAGGAAGTTCCCTCTGGATTAGTCACCTCTATACTACCTCCAAAATACACTACTACCTAAATAGCATCATCTTTCCACTTGGTTTTCTGCAGACTGAACTCTCTGTGCAAATCCTTAGTGGTTGCCTGGGTCAGGGCATCAGGAATTTGGGCCCCAGTGGCAGAGCAGAACATCATTTATTGTGAAAGTGGGTTCAACACGTGGGTGTGTTTGGTTTTTGACTCCCATTCATTACAGGAAATAAGTACACCAGCAGCAGCGAAACAGCCACTTGGGCTTAATGGTGGAAAGGTGTTGATGGGCTTCAGCTCTGCCTGTCTGTGCCAGTAGGAAGATGTGTAACCTGTGTCAACCTTTCTGTACCAGTGTCAGTCACCCAGGAGGCTCTGGGCACTCCTGGAGACATGGGCTGACAAATGCAGCTTCAGACTCCCCATTTGATATCTCGGGGGGGTCTGTACCCAACCACCACACTAACTTCTAGGTAAAATGATTGTTCTTCCAGGGAAATTTTGGTTTTATCTGAAAGGGAAAGTGAAACATTCAGCTTACATTGCTGAAGTGTAACCTGCTATTGGTTGTGGCTGAGTGTGCCCAAGATCTTATTTGGATGCTGATGAGATTGTTCTCCAAAATGGGCAGAAATGGTCCCATTCCAAATAAATTTATTGCAGTGAGAAATACCAAAATTTAAAAGGAAAGTGTGAAGCATAGAGTTCAGGTATGAGCTGCTACTCACTTTCTCCATCTCCTGTTTGAATGTGGCAAACACTTCATTGCTTTTGGTCAATGTTTTCTGAAATTCTTCAAACCTTTCAGAGTAGAGAGTGATCTGCATTAACAGAGGAAAAAAAAACACAGTAAAATTTCAGAGTCTCCAGGATGGTGAACTTCCTCTTTGGTGGAAGACAGTAAGTTTTGTGTTTGGGCAAGCAAATTAGCTTCTGTTTGGAGACCATGAAACACAAACATAAGGGAACTGAGACTCTCTGCATCTTTTTAAGTTTTCAAGCTATTATGATTCTCTGTTGCAGAAAGGTAAATGGAGGAAAAATAGGAAGACCCAGGCCAGAGATTTTAAGAAGATCTGGGAAATATGGGTGCCTTATCCTCCTGAATGTTGCAGCTATGGGATCTCTAAACTGGGTGCTCAGAAGCAAAAGAGTTCTCTAGAAGCAGAGACTTCTGAAAACATTTCCCTTGGTAACTATAGGGACTATAAAGGGCAGCATCAAAGTCTGAAAAGCTTTCTACTCCCTGCCTTTCCTCACAGGCCCTGTATACTTCTATGTAGAATTGTGGTTGAAATCTAAAGGAAAGAACTCCTAGGATGACCTACAGAATGGAAAATGATAATGTGATACCTGAGCCCATGCCCATGGTCAGGGACTAACCTGACCTGGTCCAACCACTGATGCTGTGCAGAACCAGGCAGCGGGATTAAATCAAGGTGACAGCCAGCATGGTGAGGGCTAAGCTCTATGCCTTGTTTAACCATGCAGACATTGCCAGACTCAAACTTTAACCTGTGGACATAAGCTCTGGCAGGCTTTAGAGGGGGAGCTGAGTGCTACCCTGTGTAAACTGCTTCTGATGTCCAAGTAAACTGTGGGAGAGGTATCTACACCACAGCCACAGTTTCCCCTCTTCCATCTTTCCAGTCCCCACATGGTGGCTCAGACTGTGGCTAGGAGCTGCACCAGGCGCTTGATGTGCTTCACTGGACTTGATGTGCTTCACTGGACTTGATGTGCTTCACTGGACTCCACTGTTGAAGAGGAGCATTGCTGTTCCCTTCCTATGTTATCTGGCATACAGGGTAGCCCCAGCACTAAGCAAAACCCACCCTTGGCTTCACACCCCTGTAATCCTGCACTGGATCCCTTCCAGCTTTGTCTCTGCTCCGTGGTTTGAGTGAGCTGAGAGGGCACCTTGTCAGCTCTGTCTTTTAGCCTGCCTGTGGGCTGCAGCTGCAGGCAAGGCCAGCAAAGGCAGAGAAAATAACCCCCTGACAGCCTCTTCTGCCAGTTTCACTTCACTTCATGAAGCAGAGCAGGAGAAAGATCTGTTGCAATGTACCAGCATTTAAGACTATTAGGGCTCCATATTTTGCTATGGGTAGCCACGTGGAAGCTCATCTGTGGCTGTATTTTGTCAGTGATCCAGATTTTTATATCTAAAAAAAATAAATTTCCAAAGGTCTGAGATCAGTTTTTCTGTAAGAAGAGCAGCTCCATCTCCTCCACTTCTATCTGGTACCAGAGCACCCCCAGCAGTGTTTAGGTGACTGGACATTTCATCTGCCCAGCCTAACAGCTCTCATTAGAAGAGTGACTGGTGTAACATGCAGTGGCTGAGGCAGGGTGGGTGCAGAGTGATGGGAGATTCAAGAACAGCCTGCACTATTCAGGTGTCTGGCTGGAGGCTAACTGCCCTCTTCACACCAGCGGGGTGCTGACTAAATGACCATCTAGGAGCTTGTATTTTGTGTGGTGCCAGGCAACACACACCCTCCCCTGGTGCCTGCTCTGCAGTTACTGAGGAAAAGAAGATTTAGAAAATGTAGTGAATAGTGGGTGGGTTTAATTCTGATTTTGAAATCAGAACACCTAACATTATATTGTGTTTCATATTCATTCTGGCTAGTAGTTATGATGCCCCATGTTATGGCCGTAACTGCAGCGTACTACGGATGTGCCTGAGATAAGTTTAAACTAGGTAGTTAGGGTCTTGGTGGCTGTGAATAAGGCACTGGCTGCAGCCCTTCCTCACTGAGCTGGGTGAAGGCATGGGAGGTTAATCCATGTAGAGCTCGTGATGCCAAAATCAGAGGTAGCTGACAAACTGTATTTACACCAGGCTGTAGCCAGAGCTGTGACCTATGCACAAACAGAAACTGTAAGGGATTTGTTTTACCAGCTAGAGTGCCACAGCATAAGTGGGACATTGATACCAAGTTCGACATTTGAAATAGATGTCATGGCTCTAAGGAGAAATGCCTGAGCATCCCAAAGCCAGTTAAGGGAGCAGAAGTGGGAGCAAGCAAATTGGGGTTTCTAGCCCTGAGCCATTGTCTTAAAAACCTCACCTCAGTTCTCTGTCTCTGCTTTTCCCTTCCAACTTTTGCCTGTTGTTTAATTAGATTGAAAACCTTTTAGATTTGAACAGGGCAAACTCTGATCTCAGCTGGCGCCTGAGGGAATATCATAGCACCAAGAATAGCTTATGCAATTTAAATTTGAATAATAAATTAATGTTTTTACAGTGGCTGGGAACAGCGTGTGAGAGCTGTCTCTCAGTAGGAGCATGCACTCCTGCTCCTCAGTTAGGGAGATGAGGACCCCCTCACTGCTGTGCACCATCCATCCAGTGGCCTTGACAACATGGGCAGGGGGAGCACAGGCAGTGCTGCTGCCAGGTGAGAACTGAAAGCAAGGCTTTGGGAAGTAAGGACATCTCAGCATCATCATGCTGTGAGGTTGCTACAGCTAGGACACCCCTTCGGCCCTGTTAAGTTCTTCTTGGTTGTCATAGCCGGGTGATTGCACTTTGCCAGCTGCTGAAAATTAAAGGCCTTGGCTTTTATCTTCTCACTTTGTTTCAAAGCACAAAGCTGAAGTCTTTCTAAGCAACATGCCTGGAGAGGGTGTGAAGCGTCCTGGGAAGCACCAGTGTGGTTTGGGTGTATTCCCTCACCTGGTGCCAGATCTCTGTTACCATTTGGAGGGCCAGATTTGGCCACCTCAAGGCACACTGTGCCACTCAGAGACAGGCTTGAAAATCATGTCCCCTGATGTGGCAGGCAGGTGTGAAAACAATGCCCCCTGATTCCTTCCAGCTCAAGGAAGCAGTGGGTGTTCATCACCTCCTCTAAAATGGAGTGATATCTTACTCACTATAGCAGACCATGGGGGCTGTATTATGGCTTCTCCTTATCTCACTGACCAATGTCTTCTCATAGTTTCCATGGAGCTGTCCCTCTGTTAATATCTATTTGTTGTTTTTTGCTGTTTGCATCAAGGAGCTCTTTATGCTGTTTCTCTTCTGTACTTCCACAATGGCACCTGGTCCATGAGGGAGGCCCTGCAGTGCCTACTATACTGGAAATAGTAATAATAGTAATAGTAATAATAATAATAATGATGTTATTCTTTTCAGTAATTCCAAATGGAGGTTGCTATGTAGGTGACAGAGCTCTCACACTTGAGCTCTAACTAATGCATATTTCATTTCAAAAGTGAATCACTTAATTTTCATGTACCCAAGTCTGCAAAGGGCACATATATCACCAATGCCTTTGCAGACTTGTTTGATTGGATTGTTCTAAAACCAATTCTACTATTTCAAATGTATGCTTCATATATTCTTGCTTTTATCAGTATCTTCAGTTTCATTAAACTGGCTACAGAGGTCTGCTTCCATACAAACTCTTTCTGGTTAAACATAAAAGCGTAATTAAAACCATTCTGAGAAAATTGGGAGCAGGTTTGCAGTTGGGACATACTCAGCTGGAGGCCTTTGAGGTTTGATTGCAGAACCTGTCAAACTGGTGTCAGCAGCAGTTTACGGGATGTTCTTTGGTACATTACCAGCTTATCTCAGCCTTTGAAGAAACATATAAAGGACCAAACCCCTCTTAGTGTGTTTCCAGGTTATCAAGTTTAATGATAGCCTTTCTTGACTGCTCAACAGGTAGGAATTAGACCATCTATAAGGGCAGAGCTGGAACAACTTACCAGTATGACTAACTGTGAAGAAGGGCTTGGAAGGGGCTTACTGATGGGTGAGGAGATGAGCAGCTGCAGGGGGGCTGAAGGACTGACACCCTCCCCGCTCCCCAAAGCTCTGCTGGGGAGGACCTTTCTTGCAGACAAGTTAATGAAAAATCTACATGGCTGTTTTTATAAGTCTAGGAAAATCTACTAATGCTATCTCTTTTTGATGTGAAAGTCCAAAGTCAAACATGTAATTGAGTGTTCTCACTTGCATTAAAGGTGGATGTGGATTATTGCATTGCTCTCAAAGTGTAGCATATACTGCCTGTTTCTTGTTTTTACTGCTTTTCACTGCAGCCTGACTCTTAGTATAATTTTGGCAAGCTTTTTTACTTTGTTGAATGTTTCAAATTGCAGCCAAACACTGAAATCCTTTGTATAAGCCCTTAGCAGGCAGAATTCCTGCTGAAGTTAATGAAAATGTTGCCTTCACACTGCAGTACAGAAAATCCCATGAGCACATCAGCTCTAGTTTGGTAAATGTGTTTCATGATATGTATGTATTCCAGTGCTTCGCTGGATTAGAAACCTGCCTGAAGGGTAGTTACAGTGAATAATCAAGCCAAGGCACACATATTGTTACGTAGTTGAGTACTTTAAACACTCATAAATCATAGTATTATAGAACAGTCAGGGTTGGAAGGGACCTTAAACATCATCTGGTTCCAACCCCCTGCCACAGGCAGGGATGCCTTCCACTAGACGGGGTTGCTTAAAGCCACATCCAGCCTGGCCTGAACACTGCTATGGAAGGGCTATCTACAACTTCTCTGGGCAACCTGTGCCAGCGCCTCACCAACCTCATAGTAAAGATTTTCTTCCCTAGATCTAAACCAAATCTACCCTCATTCAGTTTAAAGCCATTACCCCTTGTTCTATCACTACAGGTCCTGATACAAAGCCCCTCTCCACATTTCTTGTAAGCCCCCTTTAGGTACTGGAAGGCTGCTATAAGATCTCCCTGGAGCCTTCTCTTCTCCAGACTAAAAAACCCACATACGACAGTATGATTTGCAGTATGGGTTTTACCTTACAGTTGGCTTGAAAATAACCTGTCCCCTTTGCAATAGCCTACGGGTTGTAGAATGAAGCTGGAGGGAATACATATAAAGTAGTATGGATACTTTACCTGGAACACGTCTCATGGGTTAAAAATGGAGAAACAAAGGCACACCATGCAATCACCTCTCCTACATCACCTGTGCCTGCAGGACAGTCTCTTGCTCCTTTAACATTTTGGCCTGGAGCTTCCATTCTGCAGCTTGGTTCAGGAGCTGGGTTTTGGGCAACAGAAAAAATTGTTAGGTCCCTAGTTTACCAGTTGGAAATCCTCATCCTTCACCCACCTGTGCTTCTGCCACTACTACCATGATAAGGAGTAATCTAACTCTTGGATGAGTGTAGAGGAGCTAGGCAAGATAGAGTATCTAGTGCTATCCTGAGACATGGAACAGGGTTTCCAGAGGCATATTTGAATATGAGTTCAAAACCTACTTGGAATGAAGTTGCAGTACAATGGGCTCTAGAAAGTGTGGTATTTAACCATATCTTCAGCAGACTTCTAGAGAATGGTTATAATACTTTCTGGCACTTTCATTTCAGCACAGCTCTGGCCAAATTCCTGCTTTCCAGTGAATGGCAAACTCCCCTTTACATTAATGATCAGGACTTAGCACACAGGTATGGTCACAGTCAGATGTGCCTCAAAAAATCTGCAAGCTTTCAGAAATTTACTATGTCATTTCATGACATAGTAAATGTCATATGCTTTTTGGTACCTATTATCTTTGAGCTCCATTTGCATTGACATGTTCCCAGTGGAGTATCCCAACTCAGGGTGATGATTGCCTCACTTAGATCAAGGAGGCAGCCTAGGAAGAACTTGACTGCAATGTTATCCCTGGCTGCTCCTGGGAAGATGTGATTCCCCACTTTAAGGTATTTGGCAAAATGATATTATGAAGTGGAGGCTGCAGAAGGAAGGGTTGGTCAAGGCTGAATGAACTGTAGGAATGAACTGTACAGAGACTTTTCCAGGCTGCAGTTCTGAATCAGCACTTCTAAAGTGCATGGCAATGTTATAGCAATTGGTTTAATCTGAAAGCCAAAACATTTACTGAAGTGTTAAAAGAAATGTGCCTATTGCCCACCATACATTTGTAAAGGGTTTTACTGGTTAGGCCAAATGTGTTTTAGAAAAAGAATGTTTATGATAGCTTGAGAAATGAGGTAGAAACAAATCAGTTTACCACAGGACTTCCTTCTGTTGGATTAAATTGTACTGCTTATAACACCTCTGCTGGGCTCTGAAAATATGCTGATAATAAAAGTACCATGTAAGTCAATAGATCCTACTCTCATATTGGAAGTGAAAGGTGAGTAGAACCACATGCAGAAAATGCATTTGACCCCTAGTTAAAACTTTTATTCTAACCATTTTGCTGGAAATAACACACGTAAACTACTTGAATACCACCTGGCAAAAGAGCTGAGAATGTACCCTACAAATGCTGACTGAACAACAAAATGAATTCCCTCCTTACAGCTATTCCTGGCACAGAGACTATTTGAATTAGACTTGTTGCCAACACATTTATATATATATAAGCTGTAGAGAAATATTTCTTCCATCAATTCTTTTGATTTAGACCCACTGATTTTTTACCATCTACAATTACCGAGACTGTACACAGCTCGAGTATGCATTTTGTGAAGCAATAGTACATTGTGTTTTATACCTACCTCTTAATATTTATTTTGAGAATTTAATCTAATGCTTGATTTAATGGAGATGAGTCAAATTCTTGCGTTAAGATCTTGTTGACTAAAATTTCAAATAGGTTGTGTCGTGACCAGTAAAAAGAGATGGTATGAGTAGGCCTGGATTAAATGAGCCTCAGTTCATGCATTTATTTTCTTGGGAGACAGTATGTTTTACACACAGAGAAAGAATTAGTTTGGCTTTTTTTTTTTAAGTTTGGATGAAATATGGATTTTTAAGTTTTACCTTTTTTTTTTTTTTTTTTTATGAATTCTAGGGTGTCTGGTTTGAATGATTTAATGAAAAGTGCTTTGGAAAGCTTCAGAGCTACCCAGTCTATAAGGCCAATTATTGCTTCCAAGAACTGGGCTTTTATCTGTATTGTTTAAATCTCAACTATGATTGCCTTCATGCCCACTGTGCCTGGGATAACGAAAAGGTCTCACCTGCTGCACCACATCTTCCGCCACAGCACAAGAGATGGACAGCGAAGGCTAAGAAAAGTTGCTTCTTTTGCCCATACTCTCTCTTATTGACCCACATAGCTTCTGCAGCCAGTAAAAGTTCAAAAATTAATAAACTCTTCTATAATGGAAGCAAGCCACAGAGAGGCTTGCTCAAATTAGCATGTGCTGTTATGCAACCTGAGGTCATCTGCAAACACCAGGCTGGGAGAAAACAAGTCAGGAGAACTGATACATTTATTAATAGGCTATGAAGTGGTAACAAGGAGGCCAGAGTATAAAGAAATGAATAAATATCGCATGTGGTGTTTACAAAGCAGCACTTCAGTGAAGTGTAGTGATGTTACACTATATTATTAGAGCAGTGATAGCTGCTGGAGGCCCAGACAGTCACATCATGCTCAGGAATTAAAGAACCAGTCCCCAGGAACATACATTCCCATTTAATGACATGGATCTAGGGACTGGCTTAGTGAAAATTAAGCTTCCCTTTTTGCTGCAAGACTCTGCAAGTTCCAATTATGTAGAAATCTGATCAATACCTTTCAGTCATATACTTGAAAGCCACAGAGGATTTAAACTGCAATTAATTGCCCATCAAAGTTTGCATTACAAGTGCTAAAAATGTATGGTATGGGGAGAAAGTCCACGTAGTTCTGAGCAGTTATGGGATGATAGTAAAATTGAATCCTTAAGTCAATCTGACCCTTTGGGAAGGCCACACAGTATGAATCATTGCTGCTTATATAGGAATTGCATTCTTTGTTGCACATGTAGAGTGGATTGTGCAAGCAATGAGATAATCTACCTATTGAGATGTGATGTACAGAGGCTGCAGGAGATGACATTTCTCTTAGTCTGAGGTAAAGAAGTTTTGTATAGGGGCAAGGATTCCTACATGGAAGAGCTACCTAGGAAGACATCAAAGTAAGCCTACAAGGAGTAATCAAATAGGTAAAAGAATAGAGAAAAAATTCATTTACAGACATATGCAAAATCCTGCATCAAAAGTCATGTGTAGGGATGTAAGAAAATGGTGCCAAGAGAAAGGTTTTGAAAGCTGTTCCCTCAGATGACAGGATACTGAAAAGCAGTAAGGCTCTGGCTTTTCACGCTACTGGGCTGGAGAAAAATTCAGCTAAATGAGAGGACTCCATCAAAACTACTTTGATTTCATACATACAGATATATATATACATTACTCCCACAGACATTAGCACAATAGCTGGGTGGGTGGGACTAAGAGCTCAGCAATAGGATTAAGGTGGGAGACAAATGTAGGCCAGCTCTCTGGGTGCTGGGCTACCTGTGATGAATCATGGCATGCTAATCATGCCTTGACTTGTAGCATGGCTTTTGGCCAGTCACTTCAGTTCTTCAGCTAAATCTACTTTGCTCTAAGGTGATGTTAGCCATACATCACCAGCCTACATCAAAGGCAGGGTTTTTAAGCATTACTTTGGACAGTACAAAAAAATATTCTTTGTGCATGGTGCATATCATTATACACCCACTGCCTAAAGGCTTTGTAACTTCTTTTCAAACCTGCTATTTCCTAGGTGCTAGTCATACATAGCAAAGCCACAAAGGAAATCTCCCACTCCCAAATGTAGATAGTGATGACGTTCACTGCTTTAGAAGAAATTAAAATATGGGCATATCAGTTCTGGATAAACTACACAAAGATCTGGCTAGGAACAGGGCCAGTCATAGGCAACCACAAAATGCATGTTCTGTGGGGCACAGTAAGAAAGATCATTGATACAAAGCGGTATATGTCAGTTTTCTTCTGTTGCTTTTGTTGGTGTTTTTTTGTTTGCTTGGATTTTTTGTTTTTGTTTGCTTGGGAGTTTTTTTTTGTGGCTTGTTTGGTTTTGTTGTTTGGTTGTTTTTTTCACCCAGTATCTGAAATCTGGTACTAAGTACCAGAACTGTGACAGCAATAAAGTAAGCCCAAATTTGCTTTGTCATTGCAAGGGATTTCTTGGAAATGTTTCCTGGGATTTGAACCTGCCAATAATCAATGGTCGTGAATGAAATTTTGGGGTTTGTCTTTACATGGGCATCACAGGGAAAGAAAATAACTGAGCTGGACCAAAAATCATCATGCAGTGACATGCAGATGTGCACACGGAGAGCCCTTAGCTCCTCTTCCCCCTCAGCCTTTAGCTGGGAGTAAAGCTGAGCAGGAGTGGGTATTCCAGTCACAAGATCAGTGCAGAGATCTTGTGCAGTTATGGGATGATAGTAAAATTGAATCCCTAGGTCAAATTGAACTTTGGGAAGTCCATACAGTATTGGATCGGGGCAGCCTCCTCCATCAGACCCAGAGGAGGATGTCTGGGGGTCTCTGAGCCTAGGGGGATAGTAGTCTTCAGCCATCTCATGTTAATCCCATGTTCTTGTTCTCCTCTCTGGCTGTTTAAATATGCTCATTTATCATGTGGGGAGATAGAGTATCAAATATCAGAGCCTTTTGAAAACTAATGGCATCATCTGACCCATCATGATGATTCAACTGTGTAGTAATGCTGAGTTAGCTAAAGCAGTCTGTGGTCTAACCTACCACTCTGCAGTTAGCTTCCAAATCTGTAAATGGCAATGGAAGCAGCCTTTCAGATGCTGTTTCTTTACATTCAGCATTGACAGTAGCAATAAAAGCATCTCTACTACTGTAACCCAGCTTGGACCCGAAGAACCAATGTATTAGTGAAATAGCATGCAGGGCTCATTTTGACCTAACGTTAGGAAAGAGGCAGGCAGATTAAAAGGATAGGTACATATTCCTTTTCTTTCTGATGTCGCTCCTCGGCTTCCTTCATCATTTCCTGAGACTGCTCCAACTTGGCATCCACCAGTTTCTGTTGAAGTTCTCTGTGCTTAAATATTTTATCAAGGTGCTGTAAGAAAATAAGTTCTGCTGAATGTGCAGGTTTAGTTATGTACACAGAGCTTCATGCTCACACATGTACAGCTGTCTACTAGAACGCTCGTAAGACAAAAACATTGCAAAACAGGAAGACTCCCACCCTACTGCAATTATTAAAAAACTACAGCACTGACAAGAACAAATTGTGCCAGAATTTGCATGGGAAAGGAAACCTGTTTACATTACCTATTTTGATTTATTTTGTGAAAATGAAATAAAATAAAATAATAAAGTAAAATAAAATAAAATACTTTAGTGTCTTTGCCAGTTCCATAGTCCAGCTATGAAGTCATCAGTACAATCCAATATAACTGAAGATCAAATAATTGCTCATCAATAATAAATATGCAGGAGGGACACTTTTTTGAGCTGTTAAGTGGCCAGCAGATCTAAGCCACTGTGTAGATAAATGTGTAAAGATACATTGCACTTGCTGTACACAGCTCTGTAAATACAAGCCCTGTACACACCCTTTGCTCTGGACATACATGCACAACATGGGCTTGGAGGGCCTGGGTGAAAGTACATGAGTGGGGATGTGGAGGAGATCAAACCAGCTGAGCCAGAGGCATCTTCTGCCCTGTATAATGTCTGGCTTCATGGTGACCTTTGCGAGGTAAATGCTGCTGATAGACCTCTTCACTTTTGATTCATTCAGATAAAATTCATAGGAGCCAATATTCTGATTACATCCCTCTGTTTTTCATCTTCTTCTCATAGAAACCACAAGACAGGAATGTACATTACTTTCATTCACCGGAAGACTTCATACATGATTCAATAGATTTGGTAATGCACGTATTTTATTGGGCATTCCATATTGTAAGGACAGATTACTTACGCTTTATTCAGTATGATAACGTTGTCTGATTGCACTGAGGCTCACAGTAAACGTATTTAGAAACAATAAAAAGACCCACTGTGATGTTTTGTAGCATTTGTCATAAAATACTAAAAAAAAAAGTTAGTTTGGGATCTTACTGAAGGGATGTTTTTGTGTCAAAATTTTCTGACCAACTCTAATGTGTATAGAACAAATAATTTAACAGCTGGCTACTATCTGCCTGATCTTACGGTGAGCATTGTGCCTGCAAAAAAGAATCTATTCCAATGCAAAGGGCCTCCTTTATCTGTCATGTTTTCTGCTTCTGAGGAAAGGTCAAAGCATTTACACCAGAGCCCATCAGACTTGTGTCTGAAGAGAACACAAGTGTACCTGGCATCAGCAACAAAGCAGGCTGTCCAAAAAGATGGCAGCCGGGAGGTGTTTTGGGGGTGACTTAGGGGAAGCAGGAAAGGAGAGCTGGGGAGATCCATGGGGATTTGGGGAAGCTGTGAGAAGGACAGGGAGCAGCCTAGAAGATGGCTGGCACACCTTGCTGCTTGGGTGTCTTGGCCCCTGTCCCCAGAGCAACAAGGTGGGTGCTGCAGGCAGGGTGCTGGTTCACACAACCCCTTGGCTGCAGAGTTTGTCACACAGAGTCTGGTTGGCTTCTTACATGCATAGGCCAGCTTGGGGTACTGCCCTTGTTATCTCCATGAGACATGGTAGCCAGAGGGGAGGACAGGCTGGCAATGCTTTCTGCTTTCCCTCAGTGAAACCAGGTTTGCTGCCTGCCCCTGCGGGCAGCCAGGGCATTGCTCTCACCTCTTCCCGCAGCTCGTACTGGTCGATGATGCTTTTCAGCTTCTCTGCAAGCTCTGTGTTCTCCTGGCAGAGCTTCATGTTCCTCTCACTTTGCTGCTCGATCTGTGCTTGGATTTCACTCAGCGTGCCTTGGAAATGATTAGTTATTTCTTTCCTCTTCTCATCTTCCTCCCGTGCCCGCTGAATTGTTTCTTCCTGTTGTTAAATGGGAGAGAATGCAGTCATGTAAGAAAGACACATAATAAGAGGTTCAAGAAAGATACTGTTTCAGGGTAGCATAATGCTTCCCTTTGAAGGATTATACGTGTTTGTATTCCTCTGTGGAGATTTTCTTGCTTTCATCTGCTCCAGCATTAGGCATGATTCTAAATTTACAGAGCAAATTGCACATTGGCCTTGAAAAAATTAGGGAACTAAGAATTTGCATTTACAAAGATGGATGTAGAGCAGTTTCAGATCAAAGCAAGCCTGGAAAGGGGGCATACATGCATGTCTTGATTCATGATACTGCATCACAGTTTTTGATTTGGAAGAAGATATTCAGTGGAAGTAGTCAAAAGCACTTTTATCAAAATTCTTTTTGATTGAATTAAAAAATCACCCTTTAAATTGCCTCCTTTTAATTAGGAATCCTCATATCAAATTTACAGTCTTTTGGACTTTAATGTTTAAGAGAAATCCATCACTTTCCGTAGAATTCATCCCAATTCCTCAATTTTTCTTCCGTAGCTTTTTTACTGACACCAGAATTTGCACTGATTTATTAGGTAATGGAATCAAGGAAAGCTTATCATCTGTTTCTTACAGAATCAAAGCAAAGAATCAGAATTTTGCCTGGAGGATTCTGGAGATTTTTTTTTTTTTTAATTACTGAAATTCTGGTTTGGATTTGGATATAAAAGACAATGCAGAAAGAATCTGCATTCATTGCTTTGGATCCAGAAATACGGACTATTTTTATTCCCTACTCATTTTCTTCCAGGGCAGTCTGCCCTTCTGTGGAATGTAATCCTGATGTGCAGTGGCTAGGACAGTATCTGCTGTAGTTACAAATCATGCCAGAATCACGCTAAGAATCCACTCTGCAGCATGCAAATGGCACACTCTAATGAGGTTTCAGCTATCATAGTCATTTACATAAAAATCTCTGATAACACTGCATATGGATAGTTTCTATAAATGTACTTGAATAAAGCCTTAGCTGACTCTAATGAGGTATAATTTATATCATAAATTTGACATAAAAGGTGTAGATTTAGGCCCTAGTCTTAAAGTAAGATGAATACCAAATGACCCTAATTCTACTTAGCATGCACCACACAAGCCTGATCTTGGACAGCTGCTGTTCAAGGTAGGGGATGTTTGTCCTTTAGCTCACCAGGGAGTGACAGAGATGACAACACCTTGGATGATGGGAAGAAAGTATTGGAGCCATTAGTGCTAATAATACCGTAGTGATTAAGAAATCACCATGAAGCCCTGCTGTGCTCTGCAGTTCACACAAGAACACATGTGAGTACTCACAGACAGAGTAAAACAAAGTGTAAACCCAGAAGGATTCTCACTCTTAAGAGGAAGAAATGGTTTCAGATAAAGCTGAGCAAATGACTTGGAGGGGTCCTGGTTCAGTCCCTGTGATGAAATTGGACACACACAGTTTGCAGCAAGGTGAAAGAGAAGCTCTCCAATATTTATTTATTTTTTACATTGGCGAGAATGATTTTAATTTAGCCTGAAACATTTTGCTTGACCAGAAATAGGGCTGTGTTGTTTGTAATTACTTTTAGGTTAGATCTTTTTAGTGCAATATTGAAACAGAAATGCTGTTGCAAAGTGCAGTTAAAAATGCTACTCAGAAGGTGTTTTAAATCTGCTCCTTTAGCATTCCCAAATGAAACATCTGATTATCTTTTTTTTGAAAAGGGACGTTTACAAGCAGTTCCTTTTTATTTTTGTTCAAAACGTTGCCAAATTAAACTTGAATTCCTAGAGAGTTTTGGTCAAGTCAGAGCTCCATTTTACCTTTAATACAGTGTTTGAAAAACTGCTCAAGCCTTTTAGTTCTCAATTGGATAGGTGCAGCCCTTAGCAGGGAGAAGAATGACCAGGTGCTCTCATGTCAAGAAATCAAAGACAGAGTGAAAAATTGAACTTGCATGTCTGGAGTCCTATTTCTATGGCTTCATAACATCCTTCCTCAAAAGTACTTTATTGTTGCAGTGGATGAGATGGTGTTGTAACACGTCACCACTGTGATTTATAGCTCCCCAGAGTAATAAATCCAGCTGAATATAAACCAAAAAATCAGTGGATGGTGCGCATGTCACACTGAACATTTCTGTTACAAGGTGAAATGAGACATTCTCTAGAGTAGCAACCACGCAAATGTAAAAAAAAAAAAAAAAAAAAAAAAAAAAGAAAAACCAACCAAACCTCTATGCGTTACTCAGAAGATCTTATTTCCTGCTCATTCTCTCCTCTGAGGTAGAATAATTACACAGCACAGAGACAATACAAATATTCAAGGTTAAAGACACTAAGCCAGGAAGCATTTAGTTGCAGGGCGCATTGTTTCTCTTGACCTCTTCTGCTTCAGAGAAAAAGATATCTTAGGAGGATATTTGCTTGGGGGTCTGGCTGTGTCCCAGAAGGCTCCTCAGAGTCCCTCATAAAACAGCAGTGATTTCTGAAATCCCTGACATTCCAGGCAGATTAAGGGTGGGTGTGGGTGAGAAGAGCTGTCTGAACAGAAGGGCAACTGTGTGGCTACGGCACTGTGCAGGGACCTGCAGGCATTGCCTCTTCCCTGCTCAAAGGAACAAAACCCTCTGTGTCCCACTGCTCTGCCATGCCAATGCTGCCAATACCCAGCTGATGGTAGGCTAGTGTCTGACCCCTAAGTTTCAATGTCAGAGGTTTCTAGGTTCTACTGGTAATACCCTGGAAATAGTGATAGGCCTTTGGAGGTGTCTATTTTAAACCTGAGCCTTTACTAGCTGTAAAAGCCTGAGGCTGCATCTACACTAGAGCTAGGGAGGGGGTCAGATGCCCACATACCACAAGCAGAGCTTTGTGTCCCTGGCAGTTCTGCTCTGGGGCTGTGGTGCCAGCTCCGCTTTACCTACCTCACCTGGACAGGCACAGTCTGGCAAACCCCAAATCATTGGCATCACCCAAGTTTTATTATCACAAGCCTGCAGCCCCATCTCTGCTTATACCTGTCGCCGTAAACTGAGAAAATGCACTTTTTTTCCAATAGGTTCTTTAGTCCTTCCCATTTCAAGACGCCATCATGTAAAGTAAGATCCTTAACTTTCCACCAGATTGGAGGCTTGAAGACTGACTTCTGTTTTGTGCTACTGCTTTAGAGTAGTAGCACTCTGCACAGAGTCCAGAGCTCCTGGCTTGCTTGGTTGTAGGGAGCAAGAGGGTGTCTGGGGTGGTGACTTCTCAGCATCATCATGGTGAATTCATAACTTGCAAACCATGATCGGCCTTGCCAGCTGCTTCACTCTGTGCTCATTCTCTTAATAGTTTGAAAGCAAGTGTTCAGTTTAGTGAGAAAAAGAAGTCATTGAAAATTCTTTTAGATTTCTCCTTGCAGAAGACTGAAGTCTGACCAAAACCCATTATTGCCTTTCCTCTGCCCCTTTTTAGTCTTTGTGATCCATACCTATCCTATCAAAGATGTAGCAAAGATTCTTGTGTCCTACTGCAGTACTCCTATCAGTCTTGTGATCTACGGCTAAAAACATAAAAATGCATTGAATAAAACCTTGCAAAATTAAGACAAGGATATTCCGCAGTTTGGGGTTTATCACTGGAATGTGTGATAATTTGCAAACAGAAGGGCAGGATTGTCTCCGTTCTTCATGCCTCCTTGGGGTAACTAACTCAAGAAGACTGTTTGTCTGCAGAAGCCATATCAGCTGAGATGATATGAGTGCAGACTCTTCATTTTCAATTAATCATTCTCTTCATTCCCAGGCATCATGGTCTGAGCCAGTTTGGAGCTGAGCCTATAATCAAAGCTGTTGACTTCCACGACATTTGTATGAAAGTCATTGCTTAATGCCCGATAGCAGGAAGGACAAGGGACCTGAGATGTTCATGTAACTACAAGATGCTAAGTAGCCACCAAACTATGAGATAATTGACAGAACATGAATACCATGCAGAAAAAGGAGTTGCTGTTGGTCTTACCAGAGCTACTCTCTATTGCAGTGGGAACACATTCTGCTATTTCACGAATATTTATTCCACTTTTATTGGAAGGAGAATTAAACATCTGTTTTCTGCTGTGAAGTGTAGCTGCAAAGAAATAAGCTGGATAGCTGGGCTGTAAATAAGTCAGATTTTGAGGCCAGTATCCAGTACTAACCAGAAATTTTTCTTCTCTGATCTGTCCTGTGGATTTTCAGTGCAGATCCACACTGCATATTCCTCACCACTTGGCTGCACTGATACCCAGTTAATGGGAATTCCACACACCAGACGAGTGAAGATGACATTTACATGACGTGATGTGCATATAACGTACCACATGGTAAGTCAGAGGAGGTTCGTGATCTGGACAGGCCAGATTCTCCTTTGCTATTGAAATGACGCAATCTCCTACACTTTGGAGCATAATCAGAAGTGTTAATCCCAAGCGTTAAAAAATTCTGAATCAGCTTTCAGTCCTGCCAAAACCAGAGTAAAAGTTACTTAAGCAGAAGATTTTAAAAATAATCTTTAATGGACTCCACTGTTTTGGGTCCTCTCAGTACAGTCATAAGTGGAAGAAATTGTTATTAATTTAAATAAACAGAAGATGAGATTCTGGAGATGCACAGACCTCCAGGAGCTAAAGCTTAAAGGCAAATATTCCAAGAATTCTGTTAAAATTCTTAGAGGCAAAACCAAATAAAGATATTGAATTCTTTTGTTTATTAATTTAATTCTCATTCATTCTGCAAGTCTATTTTGTCTTACTGTCTTATTTAACTATGGAGTTTTTTACACTGAAAGCATAGGAACCAGAGGAAAGCTAATATTCTGGGTTTCTTGGAAAGTCTCCAAGTTCTTAGAAAGAAGTGGCAAAAATTTGAACACTTCTTCCTGCTACCTGATCAGCTCAGGTACCTTTCCTGGCTCACCTGGTGGAGGTACAGGATAAAAACCAGAACTGCGTCTGAAATTGATAGGTTTGTTTAGGAGACGTAGTCCCAAAGTAAAACAGTCCAACAAATGAAAAGATGCTGGAGAAAGGCTTCTCTAAATGTAAAGATGAAATGTTTAATGAAGTATTTATATGCAAAGAGAGAGGAAAATCATGCACTCTTGTAGTGAGATTAATAAGCCTATGGTATCTGGGCAATAGTGTGAGGAATTCAACAAGTCCTGTTCCAAACAAATTTACAAACATAGTAATTTTTTTTCTCTATAATCCAGTTTCCACTGATTTGTTCCACTGATACGGTTCGTTTAGAAACCTCAGTTAAGTCTATGCAAAGCACTGTACACTGTACTCTTAAATTACTTAAAAATTAGCTTGTATATCTATTGAAAGATTTTGCCCAAAGAAAGTCTGGTAAATCAGTGTGGGTCAATATCAAGGTGTACGGTTCAGGTCTGGTACAATGACAGACACAAATTTAATTGGCGCTACCAGTTTTGTGCTACTATAACTGAGCACACAGAGATCTGCTTCTAGTTTTCCTAACTATCTCTTATACTGCTTTTGTCCTTCTACTGGTGCACAGTTTGAGTGTATATGTGGCTGTGCCCCCTCCCAGCTATATACCAATGTACAATGGAAGTCAGATTTAGAGCCTGAAGGCCTGCTCCTGAGCTGGTGGAAATGAATGAAAATCCATTCCACTTAATAGAGGTTATATCAGGTGAAATTCTTGCTCATGACAATTCATATGCATAATTTTATACATAACTATATCCCCATAAGGAAGGATTTTGAATAGATCAAAGCAGAGGATTTTTGTATAATAATACCACCACCATCACTAACATGTACTCCAGAAAAAAGGAGGATCACAACAGAAATATATTTCTTGGACCTAAAGTTTTTCAAGAAGTATAATCATGTTATAAATTTCACATTTAAATGATGTGATGCACCAAGCAATAGGCAAGACATGGCATATGGATCCCAGCCTTTTGACACTCCTGAAAATTTCCTTTTTGAACTGATTCTTGTAATCCAAACAGCTTCTACAAAAAGTGCTGGCATTCTTCTTTTCTTGAGGTTTGATGTCTTGAGGTTAATGTCCTGATTGACTGACCCTCACATACCACTTGAAAATGCCCAACTGCTCAAATTACATGAAAACATAGCCCAGCCTTCAGTAAATCCCCTGGAGCAAAGCTGTTATTTTGCCTATGCACATGCATTCACACCTGCAGTGCCATGGCCTGGTCTGTTAGCACCATTGGTTTTCTCTGTGCTGGGCTCCCTGATAATGCAACGGGCACTCACAGCTAATGTGAGCAAACTCAAAGCCCAAAAATGCTTGGCTATTTCCAAGCAAGAAATAAAGAGGGCTCGGCATAAATGGGCCTCAAATCTACAGCATATGGATAATTATATATTGCATGTGCAGATGAAAATGTCTCTTTGTTTTGGTACTAGAGCAAGACGGAAGGCATCAGCATCGTCTTTTCCCCCACTGCCAGGTATCTTGATAAGGCCACTACTCACCTTGAGGTTTTTGTTGTGCCTCTGGAGCTCCCGGCACAGGCTCTCAAGCTTGCTGCGGGCGAGGATGGCTCGGCTGTGCTCACTCTGTAGATGGTCCTTCTCCTTGGTGACCTGGGCCTGCCTCTTCTGCAGGTACTTGAGCTTTTTTTGCTCAGCACGATGTTCTTCGAGCTGGGCAAGGAACAAGGATTAAAATGAAAGAAAGAGAGACAGGAGAGAAAAGAAATCTAGTTCATTTGGTTTTAGGAAAGTCTTTACACTTTCTTAACCGCTTAGGAAATGTTCTGTTTTTATCAGCACTAATGGGAGAGGAGAGAGCGACCTGAAGGGAGTTGCAAGCCCACTGCTGCAACAGTCCCAAGTGTGCTGTAGTGTGGGTGGGTGAACATAATTTTTAACACACTTGTCACACCATTTCAGACTTTCCTTCCTTGATCTGAACTTCTTTGAAGGACACCTGTGAGGTTTTTATCTTTGCGTCAATGTTAGGAACTTGAGCAGCCGGTAGTGCATTACACGATGAGATTTCTCCAGATCATGAGACAACGCAGGAGTTGCTCATTCTGTTTTTGCAGCTTCCTGAAAAAGAAACAGCTTCCAGCAAAGAGGTGCTGGAAACCTGGGATGCTGTTTGTGTGGGGTCTTTGCTGCTGATGGAGGAGAATGCTCTGGAGGGAAGTGTTCCCCAAAATGATGAGTGGGCACCTCCTCTTCCCAGGCTCCTCTTCCTCACAGGAGCACAGGGGAGCACTCATCACTTGTGTTCCTGGAGGTGCCATCAACAATGTGGGTGGGTTATGGTGAATCAAACCTCTTTTGGGCTCTTTGGCTCCATATAATTACTAAAGAAAACATGGACAATCCCTGACATTCACTTGGAAACCTGCTGTTCCTGTGGGTGCATGGCTCCTGCCTTCCCTAGACAGCTGGCAGGGAGGAAGGTGTATTTGGAAGGGGAATGAGGGGCATCAACAGAATTGCTACCACCAGTCCCCACACAGGCCAGTCATTTCTTCTAGCATGTGCCTGTTACTAGCTGTTTTGGAAAAATTCCTTGCATTGCATATTAACACCATAACAGTCACATCAAAGAAGCATTTCATCTCTGAAGCTTTCAAAGATTTTCTCCCTTTCCAAAACACAGCAGCCCTCCTTGCTGTATTACAGGCGTGCATACGTTGCGAGATATTTCTGAAGTCCAGCTGTTTTTTGGTTGAAAAATAGCAGCACATGAGCTGCAGTGTGCAAACCTTGATAATAACAGTTGCTGTTAAGATAACATCATCTAGCAATATGGTACCACTAGTATTATTAACTCCAGTATGACTGGGAAAGTTTGTGAGTGCAGGGGAATGATGTGCAGCTCAAAGAAGAAGGTCAACAGCCATCATATATTACACTTTCTCTGCCTGAGGTTTTGTTTTCTGCAGATGTTCTGTAATTTATGCTTACAGTACAGAGCTGTGTGTATTATCAATCAAATCACAGCTAGGCCTGCTACGAAACAATGCAATCACCAGCTTGGAGTATATTTACCGTTTATGCCCAACTTTCAGCATGTGTAATTGTGTGGGTTTACCCCCATAGATCAGAATAGGGGCTTTTGCATCTAATCAAGCTGCACTAGCTGAAATAATATTTCTAGTATTGTAGGGAAAAAATAACTTCTCTGTAATGAAGGCTGACATTTTTTTCCTTTATAAGCTTGATTTTGGCCCTTTCTCTTTTAAAAACACACAAATAGGGTTCTTTTTGTTTCATATTTTGCATGTGCAGCCTGTGCTGAGTGGATAATGATTTATCCAAATTTGAGACGATTCACTCAAGCTGTGTGAGATAGGGGGCTTAGAATAAAGTAGGTCTTAATTGTGATATGAGAAGTCTTCCAAGCATTTTCTGCTTTCTTGTTTTAACCCCCACAGAAATGACTTGTGCTAAAAGCTTGTATTTTAAAGTTCTCAGGAATGTCTCAGACATAGTCTTACTTTTGTACTGAAGAAGAGAATTCACTGGTAAACATGAATGACAAAAGGGCCACCAATGATAAATTTTTAAGAATAATTAATATTGGCTAAACCTAACTACAAATAGAAGGAATTCTGATTTTGGAAGGCTGACATAGAGAAGTGAACTCTCCACTTAGGAAAAAAAGTTTTATCTTGATCCCACTGAAGAGAATGGTAACACGCTTATTTATTAGGGCATAGTTCTTGCACCCAGCACTTGTGAGACCCTCAAGACCACTGAAAATAAGCTGGTTACAAGCAATTCTGCAACAGCTATTTGTAGAAAAAAGCTGAAGTAAAGCACAGCCTGCTTTACTAGCCCCAACCATTCTGCCTACACCAGTATTAGTGAATAAAATGTTCTCTAATGGCAAGAAGCATGGCACAGCTGGTATCCAAAAGGCTATGCTGACTTGCTTTCCTGTCCCTGCAGGAATGGCTTCCTTCACACTAGCCCTGCCTTCCCTGATGTCTTCCATCTTTTGGGGTAGCCCTTGCTATAGACTTGTGCTGGGGCTTGTATTAGCAGTTAAATAGTATATAGTCTGTGGGGTAGTGCTGGTGCTGCATAGTGTGCCCAAGCAGAGCATCTTAAACCACAGCTAGCAGCAACAGTACTAACAGGGCTGAAGCCATTGCCAGCACCCAGCTCAGCCTGGCACATGGCTGCACCTTCTCCTGAGCTGTGCTGCAGTAAGTGTTTGTGTCACCACAGGGTTCACCCAGCCAGGGAGCTGATCCAGTTGGAAAACAACACAGCAAAAGCAAAAAGTGACCTGAAGTGTGTGATGGGGATGAATAAGAGGGAGCAAAGAGTGGTAATTACTGCAGCTTACTGCTGATAGGTTGTTAACCACACTACACCCCTCAGGCATGCTAAGTAAGCAGTTTCAGGCTTTATCCAACAAGCTTTTAGTTGTATTTATCAAGTGGTTTAATTTAGTCACATTGCCCAGGATGTCAAAAATGAATACTCAGCATTTTCTTTTAGCACCTTTCTCCCACAGGGCAATATGGCCCCTGTTTTATAAAGTGCTTCAGTGATATTTGAATGCAATGGAGAGTACATTATAGAGGAAGAAGACCCATTTCAGTTAATCTGTGGGAATGAAGTCCCTTTAAGCATGAGCTAAACCATAAACAGCCTGAGACCATATTATGAAATCAGAGGATTTCACATGAAAAAAGGGAAAGCTGAACTTCACACACATGATGAGGCATGGACACATCTGTGCATAAAACCAATTACAAAGTCAACGTTCTGCTTAGCACATTTTTCACCACTCCACATACAGTAAAATGCTGTGGCCTTCTCATTTGTAAGATTTCCACAGCTTAAGGCCATACAGCCCTTTAACTAGAAGAAAACACTTGATCTGAAAATAACCCACCTTAAGTATAGAAAGAATAGAGTCAGGGAGGTGGCAGTGTTACAGAGATGACATGGTGGCAAGGGCTTTGACTCTTCATTTCACTGTGTTGTAGTTTCTGTCATGATCAGCCTCAGTTCACCATTTTGTGATCTTCTGCTTCCTAACATTTTCTACTAAGCCCTGATTTATTTTCATTTGGTTAAATCACTGATACACAGTTTAAAGCAATGCTCGCATGCAGAGGTATGTAAAACTCCTTGCAGAAGGGGAAGGTGGGAGCAGAGACACTAGTCTCCAGTGTGAGCTGTTTTAGCAGAATTGCCTTTAAGTACAAATATTCTGCCTCATCAGTTTTTTAACCCAAAGTCCAGCTTGTTTTCCTCATGTTTTACTTTTTTTCTCCTTCTCACCCATAATTGATTATTTGACCCTGACAATTATTTTGGGATATAATTACCAGCACAGGTGCTATCACTACATGAGGTTTGACCATGCTACATAGCATATGCTTTTTATACCTTCCTGTATAAACAGTTTGCACAGAAAAGAACCAATGCTGTACTAACCAGCTCAGCATACTTCTTAAATAACAGGTCCAGCTTCTCCTCCGGAGTATTCAGCTTGTTCAAGCTTTGCATCAGTAAGGTGGCTTCCTTCCCTTAAAAATAAAAAAAGCAGCAGAGATGTGATAGTAGAGGTAGTTCATAGCTCATGTATTGTTATGAAATTGTTTGATGCATGGATCTGTAAAAACTCCATGAGAAATGAGGCATTTTGGAAGGAAGGAATAAATTTTGCAACAAATTTCTGGATTTTTCTTCTCCCCATAAGAACAAACATGCTTGAATCTTCCATTTCAGACCTCAGTAATGTGCTGTCTTCTAGCAAAAGAACTGGCTGTGAAATGCTTTTGTCCTGTAAAATCTGATTTTCATTTAATAATTTTGCGACATTACTGGATCGCATATATGGCACATTTGACTGAAATAGGACGGAAACTCTGAAATCAGATCTATTTGCAGGCAAAAACTGATCAAAGCTGGTGTACTCAGCTCCTGTGCTGCTCAACCCGTACAAGACATGAGGAAGATTAAGTCAGGTATGAAGACTGTGGTGTTGATGGAAACACTCAGAGAAGCAGTTACTACTTACTACACACCAGAGGTGGACTACATGATAGGGGTGCAATCAGTTCCCTGACCTGACAAAGAGAGTACAGGTACCAGAGACAGTCTAATAACTATCTGGGCATGAGTAGCTAAATCACTACATAGCCATTTATGTATTGCTTCTCTTCTGATACCTCTTGGTATTCATTCCAGACCTGCGTAAGAGCTGAAGCTTGAACACTACTTGTTCATCAAATACAAAATCTTCCTGGTGTCCCTGGAGATAAGGATGGCTCTGATGACAGGGGCTTGAAAGTGCTTTCCTATATGCTCCTCTTTCCTGAAGCTGAGACAGCAAATTTGTTTTCTGCTTTATGTTGGACTTTTTCTGCTCCAGGCCTAGCACAGTTCAGGAATACTGCCTGTGGAGGAAATCCAGTGTTTCACACTCAGTTCTCACTACCGCACCAGTATAAACAAGTTGAAAAGAGCTTAAATAAAACCCTGGAGCGAAAACTGTTGCAACTGCAGCTGGAAAACTGAGCTTTGGTAGTGTTTTCACTGATAGCAGAGAGGTCCTAACAACTGCACCAAACCCAAAACAGTGGAAGCTGATTAGCTTTCTTTTCCTGGATATTGAAGGAGTTTGGGCGAAAAAAATCCTTGCTCTGTCCTATGCTTAATCCCTTATCTGTAAGAACGTCCTTTAGTGATTTTTCCCATAGGATTAGTCTGCTATTGGGTTTGGGTTGTCACGTGAAACAGAGTCTTGAAGATTGTCCTGAGTTAAATGTAGAAAGGCAGATGACTCGCGTTTCCAAGATTGGATGTAGCTACATTGCTCTCTAGCGGCTGCCCAGTGGGAAGGACATTACAAAAACCTGAGACTTCTTTCTAGCTCAGCTAACAGAGCCCTGCCATGGCTGAGCTGCTCTCTACACACTGTACTTCGAGAAGATAAACTTATTGGCTTATTTCATATAGTCTGTGATGAGTCTGGAGGTCTGCTAGACGAAAGGCAACTCGGGCATAACAGTGAATTTGCTCTGCAGATTTCCACACCACACAGTAGCACCATTAGCACCGTTATAACTGGTGATAAATAATACCTGAGGAAGCAGGGGAAGAAACAAATTTACTGATGCACAAACAAGAGACCAGGTTCTCCTTTGTCTAAGAAGCAGCCTTCCACAGTGTGTCATCATACTCAAGAGTTCTGGCTAACTAGTTTGGGCAGCCCAATAGTACATCAGAATTATGTGAGATAATCCCCAAATTTTGCCTTTTTAAAAGGAATAATATCTGACACAGCCTACATGTATCTGTTGAGTAACCACTGAAGATAGCTATCAGTTAGAGAAAGGTTGTAAGAGCCGCTGTAATTTTCAGTGGTAACTAGAGGTCCGTATCATCCACGGCAGCGGCTTAACACTGGGAAAAGCAAGAACCAGGGAGTTTTTACTTCTGTTCACAGAAGGGCTGTATAAGTATGCAAGTACTTGCCTAGTCCTTTCAGGATTTTCTTCTCCAGCTTTTGCTCCTTGCTGCCACCGGCTTCTTTTGCACTGGAAGCATCCCCAGGAGCCAGCTTCTCTTTCTCACTCTCCTCATTTACATCTTCATACTCTGCATCCTCCATGCTGCCTGGCTCTCCCTTCTCAGGCCTGTCAGTTTCTGTAGTGGCACTTTCCTTCTCCATTAGGCTTACAGCAGACCCATAGGTCTTAATAATGTCCTCCAGCTGCCGGCTCAGCTCCTCTGAGATATCGCACACAGCCGCTTCAGGGCAGGCATTTGGTTGCTCCATGGGTGCTGGAGCAGGGGCCTGAGAGCCAGGGGCAGGTTTACCCCCGCTCTGCCCCTGGATGTCCTGCCCAGTCGAGGCGGGAGGCTGGTCATTTTCCATGGTTGGTGCTGTACCTGACAGCAAACAAATGGAGGATTAGTTTAAAAACACACAGAATTAGTCATCTAGCTGTTCCCAGAGGCTGGCCAGCACCTGAGTGATTTTGTGTGGAATTTGGGATGGCAGCTCATCTGTTGGATCTGGCTTGATAAATATGTCACACTTAAATAAACAACTGAGGTGATTTGCCTACAGGGAGAAAAGCAAATTACATACATTCCAAGAAGAAAAGCCTGCCCAAATCTAATACGTGAAAACCAAAACCTCTTATTGCCATTGCCAGTGACAACACACAAAATGACACCAGCATCATTTATACAATTTCCCTCCCCAAACACACTATTTGCCACATGTTTACTTTTCTTGATCTGTTTAACTGCAACACTGTCTACCAATATGGGCAGCTTCACTTCACAGCTATATCAATTTCAATTCCCATCTCTCTCCCATCGGCACATCTTAAATCAATAAGTACAAAAGAGGAATATTTTAAATGAAACCTGTGCACTGAAAATTGTTCTGTGGTCTTGGAGAGCTCAGCATGGTGCTTGATCTGCAAGAGTCTTGGCTTGGTACTGTCACAATAATGGCAAAGAACAAGATAAGCAGCTATAACACACTCTTCTCTTGTACTTGACGCGTGCTGTTGACAGCTTGTTTGACAAAGTACAAAATATAGAATAAATCACAGCAAGGTAAAACTGACCAGGTGTAACACGGTTTTGATAGTCTGGTATTTTCTGGGGTGAATTTCAGCTTATTTGTTCCCAGTTTGCAAAGGGAAGCTTCTGTTTTCTCATGTCTTTTAGTGGCTGCACTCAGCCAGGTGAATACAGAGTCCCCATTCTGTGTTCCTCTGGAGGCTGCTTCAGCTTACCCAGGACATGATGATAAGGGTGTCAGTGAGAGTGTCTCAGGCACCTGATCCCAGCTCCTGCAAGGTGTGTGCCAGCAGAAACAGCATCTCTGACTGTTTGTGGATGGCGTGTAAATTTCTACGGCTTTCAAAATCATAAACTGACTTGTGCAAAGGCAGTCTTTGATAAGAGAGATGTAATTTACTGTAATACATGACTCAGTGGTTGGTATTAAACTCTCTTCACTCAAAGTGATGTCTGGAACCACAGTGATGGCCATCACTAAGGCAACGTTTTTCAAGATGTCTAGCTATTTGACTGGGCATACAGTCAATACAGTCAAATATTATGGTTATCATGTCTCAAGCAAATAACTGAAGGCTTTGAGTGGGGGTCAAGATGTGCTTGAAAACTGATAGCTATAAATTCATACCCCTGCAGTTCTTCCAAAGGTACAACTTGCCAGCAGGAATGCTTGGGAAGGCACCTGGACCTGGTCTCACAGACCCTGCCAGACAGACTCATCCCATTTGTTCCTTCCTGCTTGCGGCATGGTCATTTTATCCCTGCAAAGTGATTGTGAAATTACATCCACCTGATTTGACGTCATTGAGTTTAATTTATGTTGAAAGATTAGACCCTACATGTGCAATTTAGGTAAATAATTCCAGATAGCATGAGTGTAAGACTAGTTTGTGATCTTGTTTTAACTGAAGTTAATTGACTGCAAAATAATTCAAGGTCAGTAAGATTATTGCAAATGCTAAACTAGAAGCTCCACAAAATATATGATTACTTCTGACATGTTCAGACTAACGTTTATAATTGTATTCAGTAATTTGAGCTAATTGACAATCAATCAGCTAAAAAACTCAGGATCACCAGCTCTTGTCTAGACAGAACAAAAGTCTCACAAAGTATATCCCCAATTTAAACTAGCTATTTTTGTCATAACATTCATCACAGAAGGAGAACAGGATCACTAAACGCTCCATTTCCAAATATTAATTTCTCTTCCAGCTATCTCCCCTGTTTTGTGAGAAGGCACAAGTGAACGCAGTTCTCACTGCACCCCAGCTCTCTCCCTTGGCTGCCTCCCAACTCCCAACTGCATTGCTTATGGAGCAGCACTGTCCAGCTAATGGTTTCCTCCTACATGAATCACGAAGCATGCCTGCAAACACAGTAGGCTTTAAGTCAATAACAGCAAATAATTTATGCACGGTGTTTCTCAGTAATAAGGGAAAACCATGGATGAATGAAGGAGAAACTGGATGTTTAGAATCAAGGACCCAAGATGTTTAAAAGCAGGCACTGCAGGAAACCTTTCCTAACATACATTCCTGGCTAGAAAGGGATTAGTTATAATCAGTTTCTGAAACTATGGCAATTCACATTTGCTGAGGTTCAGGCCATCAGCACGCAGGTGAGTGGGCAGGAGCCACAGAAATACCCAGCAATGAACCTTTAACCCAAGGGTGCCAACCTGCAGGGTCATACCAGGGACTGTATTTACATGCATTAAAATTACTATTTTAATGCTTTGTTCCATTCTTCTCCAGGCTAAAGCAGATGACTGATAACTACTTTCAATCACCAACATGACATTAAGACTTCTGTACCTTGTTTTGCATAATGGCTTCCATGCCTCACAGAGTTTCCATTTAGGGAGACAGGGCAGCTCTCATCTGCTGAAAGTAGCCCACTTAACAGCTTTTAATGCTGGGAGACTTTACTGCTATTAGCCCCAGTCGTGCTAGTCCTCTAGCCTGTTTAACCTTGATGTATATCAGGAATTCTTCCTTATCAGGCCATAAAAGACTTTTAGTGCCAATCTCAGCAACACACAAAGTATTTACATTATATGCTGTCTTAGACACAGTAATGCCGAAAAATTAGGTGACTGAGCCCAGAAGAGGAATTCCTTGGTTCCTCCAGGAATTTTAGACCTGCCCAATTTTAGACTATCTGCCTCCTGAAGTTTGTGACTTCTGCTACCCTTACAGTTGTCTACAGGCACCTGAATTTCCAACACAGCCTTATCCTGTTTTATGGCAAGGGTTGTGGGGACTGACCAGTTATTTCACCGAGTCTGAGCATTGCATCTTGTTTGCTGTTTTCCTCCTGCAGTCCCAAATCCTGGACCTGTTCCACAGTCTGAGATCAGTCTTTCCCGGCCCTAGTGTCTTGGATTGAAACTTGATCCCAGACACTTGCGGTTGCTGCCCACAGATAGTCACTGTGCCCCTCCTCTCCTCCAGTGGAAACACCCCTTAGAATCAGAGGGTGTTGCCGCCTCTCCGTTGTGGGAGCGGCTCTTCTCTTCTCCATCCTTCTCCTTCCTCTGGGATAACTCAGCATGACAGTGGAGCTCCTTGGGGCACAGGTGACCTCCGGTCTCAAGTGGAAGGTGACACTGGTCCCAGGCTGATGCCTTTTTGTAGGAGGACTCATGGCCATGCCTGCCGTCCCTTAGTGAGACTGTTGCTCGCAGCAGCAGCCGTCTGTGTTTGGCCCCAGTGGCACAAACCCGGGCTGAGCGCACAGCACAGTCACAGCTGCACTCAAAAGGCAACAGAAAAAGGTGCGCGGCTAAGCTCAGCCTGGTAATATGCAGTGTTAATTTGTTTCTGTATCCTTTAACATTTCACATTAGGGCACAATTTGCCTTCTCTCTGCTTTGAAATCAGCCAGTACTTCCAAAGTAAAAGGTCAGTCAGCAAGAACCAGTGCCTGATTTAGCAGAGCTGCAGCAGCCATTCCTCTGCTGCTGGGAAAAACATGCCTGTCCTGGGCTGCGTCGGCACCAAAAGAGCCGACCCTGCTGTGAGGCACAAAACACAGAACACATGTCCTTAGCTTCTCTTGCAGATTGTCCTACGTGCTGTTGCAGAGTTTTGTTTATCTTCTTTTAAACAGAGTGATTCCCCTTCCTTCTTTTCTGGGATTTGCTTCCTCCTTCCCTTCTTGCAGCTTGAAGTTCTAGGGGGTTTACAGACTTAGACTATATTTAGCTCTTGCCTCCCGTGTATCCAGCAGAAGGACACATGGCACCTGCTCTGCAGCCAGGAGTTATTTTAAGCGCTTCTAAAATGGGTGTTGGTATTTAGCACTTTACGCTCAAAATTCTCGTACAGACACACAGAGTTCTCTAAAACGAAGCATTCCATACACTTGCACCAGCCAGCATATGTTGATAAAATCTGAGATTTTACCTCTACATGACGCCAGACTTTACTACAGTAACACCTCAAAGCGGCAAACATGAAGCTCTGGAATGGCCCACGCTACAGTAGCTCCAGTTACCCTCCAGAAAAACACAAGTGCCTTATTATAGCCTAGGCACTGTCCTATGTATTACTTCAGAAATCGGAGATAAAGCAGCTTTATCAACTGTGTGCTACATTTGAAAACCTTTATGATTTATGCACAGTTTTCTAGTACGAAACTGAACAAAAATTTGGAGGCTTCATGGCAGGTTTTTCTAAAGGCATAGAAAGAACCAGACTCAAAAGACTTTCTATAGTCCCCTGCCTCTCATGCCGTACCTGAGTCTTGATCACTTACTCTTGTGACAAGTCAGCTATAGCCCCAGTCTCACTTAAAGGCAAGCTCTACCAAAGTCAGCTTCTCTTCAGAGAAGCATTTCTTACTTTCACCAACAGCCTGAAATACTTGCCTGTTTTTCTCACACATCACACGGGCTTTTAAGGCTATTCCTGGAAAATGTGGGCTGACAGTCCCAAAAGTAAGTACTTTACTTAGATTAAAGCCCTTGCACCATGCCACCAAACAATGACAGCAAGAAAGCTGTTCATCAGACTTACCGGAGCAAAGAGGAGAGCTGAGCAGAGAAAAAAAAGTCAATCAGAAAGCTCAGACAAGGGCACGGCAGCAACAGGACACTGGTACTTTAATTCTGCCACTGAGGGAAGAGGGTCGGGAAGACCAAGAGAGGGGGGAAGGACAGAATGACACAGCAGGAGCAAACACTGTGCTTTGCAGGGGACCGGCTCTGATAGGCGAGCTGGGAGGCTGCCTGCTATCTGGCAGCATAAGTCAGCTATGTTGGCTATTCCCTGCTCCAACAGAGATAACATGAGAGATTCAAGACTAGGGCCCTCAGAGAGAGAAAATAAAGGAAGGATTTGTACACAGCTGCTAGTCTTCAAAATTAAGTCTTAATCCTTCAATGTCTTGATGCATTGTGCTGTGAAATTTGTCTGTATTGACTATGGATTGGTCAAATTTGGTGTAATTTTCCTGTCTGTACCAGAAAGATTGGGATGGCTTTCCATGATGTGAACCTGGGATTTGGGCAGGATTTGTTAGAAACCAGTCTGCTTTTTAATCATAGAGTCATTGGCTGGATGGGACCACAGGAGGTTTTTAGTTCAACTTCTTGATTGAAGCAGGCTTTGCTGTGATCTCTCAGGTCCCTCAGGGCTTTACATTGATCTTAAAATTCTCCAGGGATGGAGACTGCATAACCTCCATGGGAAGCCTGTTCTCCTGCCTGCCTGTCATATTGAAAAAGTTTCTCCTTATACCTAGCCTGAACTTCCCTTGTTTCAGCCCATTGCCTCTTGTCCTCACACCTTACACCCCTATGAAGAACCTGTTTCTGTCTTCTTGATAGGGCTGCAGTTTGGGGGCCTCCAAAGCTGTCTCTTCTCCAGGCTGAACATCCCACTTCTCTGGCTTCTCTTTATGGCACAAGTGCTTCAGCCCCAGCCACTGTGGTGACCTTCCAGTGAATTGACCAGCCTCTCTCATTGGGGCAGCAGTACTAATGGGGATGGCTGGTGTAGCTGTCCCCCTGATCCCAGTAGCTCCCAAACAAATGTTCTCATTGCTGCAAAGGTAACCTGTCTGAACTACTTTCTGCATGTTACTGTGCCAACTCACATTGGCCCAAAGTTGTTTATACAAACAAGCAGAGCATACCCTAGGGAGCTCAGCTGCACACTCTTCATCCAGCAACCAGCATCTCCCACTTCTGTGACCCAGAAGCCACTCAGGCAGCATCTTGAGATGCCAGATGGCCTAAGGACCATCTGCTGCCCACTCCCTAGGGAGAGATGTAGGTCAGTTTAAAGCACAAATATGCAAACAACTGAGAAGCAATAGGCTGATACTGGAAGTGGCAGCCAGGGCTATTAGAAGAGAACTGGGACTTTGGCTCCAGTGAAAAATAATACAATCAAGCTCAGAACAATAACAGGAGGAAAACCACATGTATGCTACAATGATATGGAGTAAGTCTTTAAACCAAACTATTGTTGCATGGCACTAGAGGTCTCAGAAATGTTTTGCACCTGATTTACAAGGGTATATGAGAGAAAACAGTACTGGGCAGTACTGGGCAGCTCAGTAGCCAAAAGTACTGGCTTAGAAATAGTCCATGTTAGCAGCATCTCAGACTTTCACTGGAGAGGACTAAATGTCCTGCTATATTTGTTAAGACAGTGTGGGGGGGGGTAGAAAGAACATACTTAGAGTGATTTCTCATTAGTCTTATCTACTTGAAAAGGCAGCTCATATTATCTGGGGGTGCATGGGCATCGTGCTTCAAGGAAAAATTAGTTCTTTGAATCTTCTTCAGACACTGGTGGTGGCTTGGTATTGCTCCTAAGGAAGTCACAGATTCAACGATAATGACAGGGAGATTGCAAGGTCAGGGGCTTTTGTTGTGAATCTTTTGGAAGGGGTTGGAAACCAGCTGGATGTTTTGGGAGAAGATGAAGCCTGTGACAGGGCGTCCTGAGCGAGCAGACTAACAGTGAAGATAAGGGTGTTTGTTCAGGCTCCTTGTGCTCTTCCTGTTTTAATTACAGATTTCTCCTGTTCCAGTCCCCTGTTCATTTTTCTGTTGAAATAAAATCAGCTCCAGGGTTTCTGAGATCAAAATGCGCAACTGAGCTACCAAGGACCTAAGCAGCAGCTGGGCTGTGGAAAGTTACTCCAGCATATCCTCACTCCTTGGCAAACACAAGGCAAGACATGTTCAGCTTTGCTCTCTTTCACTGGGGTTAAAGCTATTACGTGCAAGCTCATTTTTTGCAACAGCCTGACAGCGTGCACACAGTCCCTTATTATAGCTCAAATGACATGCAAGGATCCACTGGGCAGTGAGAACTTGGTCATGTTCTTGAGTCGTCAGAGCATACTGATAACAGGAAATTTGTTTGGCTCATCATAAAAATTAGCTGCAAGAAATACAAAGCTACATGTTCTGAGTTGTTCCTAAATATGCAAGTAAAGAAAACAGTCTGGTACAGTCAGGGAGTGGAAAAGGGCAGATAAAACCAGTGTTCCTGAGTATGTGGGGAGTATGTAGTTCTGGAAGATTAAAAGAGGTCTGCTGAATTTGGTCGCATGAGTTGAAGCAACCACCTTAATAATGGAAAACAAAACTCAGGCTGAGAAATTTAAAGGAGTGTGTTGAAATTGCCATGGAAGCAATTTACATGCTGACTACAACCAGCTGACTGGCATCCACATTCTGTACGCTGGTATGGTTGCATCTGGTGAGCTGAGGAGAGAGCTGGCTGAAAACGCTCTCTGTGAAACCTACACTGCTTCTGAGGTTTCTGCTTTTGCGATGCATTGGGTATTTCATGTCCCCATTGAGGGGAAGAGAAATAAACGCTTTCTCTAGTCCATGAGAAAGAGGAGAAATGTACCTTCCTCATATGAAAGCTAGACCACTCCTTGAGAATTTGCCGTAATAAAGCTGAATTTATTTTTCAATTGTGTTGAGTTGTGATCTGGACTGCATATCTGTAACCCTACACTTTCTTTGTTGTGCTGTGGCATTTCCACTGAGGTTGCTTGCAATGTTACACAGAAATTGCCTGTTTCTGGGTTAAACATAATCATCAGCAGCATAAATATACTGAAGATAGAGACTATCCAGGGGAAAAAAGCTAATAAGTAATTTTCTACCTATATTTACAATTTGCTCTATATGATAGTCAATGCATTCAGCCTTATCAAACAGACAAGTTAATCATTAAATCAATGCTGCTGAAGCATTTGAATTTTCTTCCTATCTTTTTCTGCCCTGTTTTTCCTTCCTTTCCCCAGGCCATTTTCCTGAACTGCAACATTCAGCTCTCACCTGCTGATGCTCTCTCCCTCTTTCCAGTACTAATGTCATTGGCATTGAAAAAATTACTTTTTGGGGGGTTGCGTATTCCTTTTGCATGACATAGGAAGGTTTAGGTGAGTGACCAGTGCTTCAAGTTCAGAGTCTCTCTTGCAGATGCTGAAAGGCTTTAAAAATGTAGACTTTGTCAGAAGGCAGTACTGTGTTGGTTAAAACCATTTTTAAGGGTTTTGAGGGTTTCTTTTTCACCACCAGCAATGGCAAGCCTTAATTCTTCTTCCACCTAAAAACCAGCTAAGTTTCTGCAGAAGCCCTAATATCCCCTGGAAGCCCTACTGACTGATTTGGTCTTCAGGCCAGTCTCTTAACAGAAGAAGAGGCTGGGGAGGGTCTCCTGCCTTTTGCACTTGCCAGAAAAGAGCCATCTGCACCCCCTGCAAATTGTAGCTGCTCTGTTCCATGAGACCCTGTTTGCCAGCAGCACAAGAAAATCTGGAGACAAGCATTCCTGGTTCTGTCATACAGGGAGATGCAAACTTCAGTGAAATCATAGAATTCATAGAATCATAGAATAGTTAGGGTTGGAAAGGACCCAAAGATCATCAAGTTCCAAGCTCCCTGCCAAGGGCAGGATCACCTCACACTAAACCATGCCACCCAAAGCTCTGACCAACCTGGCCAGAACACCAACAGGGATGGAGCATTCACAGCTTCCTTGAGCAACCCATTCCAGTGCCTCACCACCCTAACTGGAAAGAATTTCCTCCTTACATCCAGCCTAAACTTACCCTGTTTAAGTTTTAACCCATTACCCCTTGTTCTATCACTACAGTCCCTAATGAAGAGTCCCTCCCCAGCATTCTTATAGGCCCCCTTCAGACACTGGAAGGCTGCTATGAGGTCTCCACGCAGCCTTCTCTTCTCCAGGCTGAACAGCCCCAACTTCCTCAGCCTGTCTTCATACGGGAGGTGCTCCAGTCCCCTGATCATCCTTGTGGTCCTTCTTTGGACTTGTTCCAACAGTTCCATGTCCTTATGTTGAGGACACCAGAACTGCACACAATACTCCAGGTAAGGTCTCACAAGAGCAGAGTAAAGGGGCAGGATCACCTCCTTCGACCTGCTGGTCACACTCCTTTTGATGCAGCCCAGGATACGGTTGGCTTTCTGGGCTGCAAGCGCACACTGAAGCCATCTCATGTTCATTTTCTCATCGACCAACACCTCCAAGTCCTTCTCCACAGGGCTGCTCTGAATCTCTTCTCTGCCCAACCTGTAGCTGTGCCTGGGATTGCTCCGACCCAGGTGTAGGACCTTGCACTTGGCATGGTTAAACTTCATGAGGCTGGCATCAGCCCACCTCACAAGTGTGTCAAGGTCCCTCTGGATGGCATTCCTTCCCTCCAGGGTATCAACCGAACCACACAGCTTGGTGTCATCAGCAAACTTGCTGAGGGCGCACTCAATCCCACTGTCCATGTCACCAACAAAGACGTTGAACAAGACCGGTCCCAACACCGATCCCTGAGGGACACCACTCGTCCCAATGTCTCCAGCCGGACATTGAGCCATTGACCACAACTCTTTGTGTGCGGCCATCCAGCCAGTTCTTTATGCACCGAGTGGTCCACCTATCAAATTGGTGTCTCTCCAATTTAGAGACAAGGATGTCGTGTGGGAGGTGTCGAATGCTTTGCACAAGTCCAGGTAGATGACATCAACTGCTCTACCCCTGTCCATCAGTTCTGTAGCCCCATCATAGAAGGCCACCAAATTGGTCAGGCAGGACTTCCCCTTAGTGAAGCCATGCTGGCTGTCACCAAG